AATTGGAAGTTTAAAATGGCAATAAAAACTCTATATAAAATATGAAAAAATTAACTGTCTTGAATTATTTTGTCGGGCGGTACATTTATATTGTGTAACTAAAAATAAAACGTTTTCACGAGGATTTTAAAATTCAGTCGGGCGGTGATGAGAATCAAGGAATTTATTTTATGTTGGGACTTGGGAGCAGCTTGGGAGTGGCTAATTTTGAATATTTACTTAATTAATGCATCTATAAATAGCGTTGATGCTTCAGGGGCGGTAGTTCATTTACACCCAGTTTTGTAGCCTGCGCGGCAGGCGGTATTTCTACAGGCAGCGAAAATTAGGGAGTCAAAGGAAATACCGTCTGCCGCAAAACTAGGGGTTTTTGAATTACCCGTCCGCTGGTGAACGGGAAAAACGGATTGGTTAGTATTTTTATGTAGTTGTCAATCAACGGCTAAATTCGGTTAAATGTTAATCATTAACCAAATGTTTTGACGTTTTGAAACTCTGCGTTTTGAATTAATTAGTTCACGTCAAGTTCAGACCAGAAATGGAATAACCTAAATAATATAGAAGAAGCAAATTAAAAGATATAAGCTGAAAAATAACACTCTAAATAGTGTTTTTGATAGAGATTCGAACAAGAATATTTAACAAAGAAGATACGTCCGAAGGGGCCGAAGTTATGATCGGCGAAAGGTATATATAGGCTAGTCTATATTTTCGTTCAGACAATTACATGCGTATTAATTTGATAATATACGAGCTTGCTTGACTTTCAAAGGCCATAAATCGCAATAATGTTGACATTTTACTAAAACTATCGATAGAAATTAGGAGATATTTCTTCACTTAATCGAACAGTGGGATTTTCATATAGGCCTATCATGTTCTGAACCAAAGATACTTGATAGATATTATATACGAACCTCCAAAGGCAAAGTATAAACAAAGGGCCGGTTGATGCAGTAATTATCAAATAACAGTTAAACTCTTTATATATACCCGTTGAATATGTATAGTTGTAAACAAATAAAAACTATCGTTCTATAGACTATAAGGTTCAATACTTTCAGTTTGGTTGTTGACTGATGATGAATCTGTCGAATCTATAGTATAGACTTGCACATCACTCGACACAGTCTGCACTTTGAAATGTCGAAGGCAGTGGGAGATTTATTTTTTATATTTTATATTTATTTTATATAATTTATATATCAATCGTTCGTATCTCCACGAACAATGACAGAATGACTGAGTTTCTTTAAAATACAATGAAATTTCATTCAAAATTCTGTTTGTTTCAAATTGGAAGTTTAAAATGGCAATAAAAACTCTATATAAAATGTAAAAAATTAACTGTCTTGAATTATTTTGTCGGGCGGTACATTTATATTGTATAACGAAATATAAAACGTTTTCACGAGGATTTTAAAATTCAGTCGGGCGGTGATGATCATGAGAATCAAGGAATTTATTTTATGTTGGGCAGTTGGGACTTGGGAGCAGCTAATTTTGAATATTTACTTAATTAATGCATCTATAAATAGCTATGATGCTTCAGGGGCGGTAGTTCATTTACACCCAGTTTTGCGGCAGGCGGTATTTCCTACGTACCGCCTGCCATGCAGGCTATATTTTAGGGGACTGGGATATTAACTTAATGAACCACTTAAATCATGAACTAACTAGTAAATTCCTAGATATAATGTACAGTAATATGTTTTTGCCCTTAATAACACATCCTACTAGAATTACTTCACATTCGGCAACCCTAATTGATATTTTTACTAATAATCTTGACAACCACGCTCTAAGCGGTCTTTTGTTTACTGTTATATCTGACCACTTATACCCATTTTTAGTATCTTCTCTGAGCAGCAAGATAGGTGCAATGTCAACTCATATTTTGTTGTTCGTAATAAGAAGCAATTAAATGTAATCAATTTTCTCGATCAATTACGTAATATTAATTGGGAGAATCTCGATGAATATAACAATCCCGTAAATGCCTACGGATCATTTCTCCACAAATATACATCCTTATTCAACGAATGTTTCCCTCTTTAACAAAACCTTGGATTTCCAAATGCTTACTTAAATCTATTAGGAAAAAGAATAGACTTTACCGAAAATTTCTGAAGTTTCCCGCCTCACAAAACGAAAGAAATTACAAACAATATAGAAATAAGTTGAGTTCTCTGTTACGCACAGCAAAACGCCTTCATTATGAAGAAAAATTGAACTTAGCGAAAACAAATGTTAATTTAAGAAAACTTGGCAAGTTTTAAACGAGATATTACAAAAGAGAGGGAACAAAGCGAATAAACTACCCTCTAACTTTTTTACTAATAATAGAAATATTTCTGACCCAATGGAAATAGCTAATCAATTTTGTAATTATTTTTCTAATATTGGCTTAAATTTAGCGAAAAATATTCCTGTATCCCAATATACTCACCACTCTTATCTTAACGGTAATTTTATCAATTCTATTTTCTTGCAACCAGTCTCGGAATTGGAGCTAAACGAAATTATTAAATCATTCCCCGTCCTAAAACCGCGGTTGGCTGGGACAAAATCCCAATGTGGGCCGTTAAGGTTTCATTTGAATATATTTGCAAACCTTTAACTCATATTGTAAATTTGTCAATTGAATCCGGCATAGTTCCCGACCAGATGAAAATCGCTAGAGTTACTAGAAAGGACTGTGTGTAACCCCATTATGGATTTCATAAACAAAAATGAGGTTCTGTTCAATAACCAGTATGGCTTTAGAAAAAACCATTCGACAGCTTTAGCACTTCTGCATCTGGTTGACAGTATAACCTCTTCTATTGATCAGAAGAAATTCACTGTTGGTATTTTCATCGACCTTTCAAAGGCATTCGACACTGTAAATCACAAGATACTGCTCCAAAAATTGCAGCATTATGGTATCCGTGGTTTAGCACTCGATTGGATAAGAAATTATCTTAGTGATAGATACCAATTTGTTGAATACAATGGTATTCAATCATCTTCTAATGTAATTAAATGTGGTGTTCCCCAAGGATCAATTCTTGGTCCAATTTTCTTGTTGTTGTATATAAATGATATTTGCAATGTCTCCAGTATTCTTAATTTTATCCTATTTGCTGACGATACTAATCTATTTCTTTCTCACAATGATCTTTCGTTTATGATGAATACAATAAATAGTGAATTGCTCAAGCTGTCCGAGTGGTTTAAAGCCAATAAACTTTCAATTAATATTCAAAAATCTAGTTATATGATTTTCAAAACTAGGCAAAAGAGATATATACCTGAGTTTAGTATAGAAATTAATAATACTAAAATCAAACGGGTTAATGAGGTTGTTTTCCTCGGAGTTGTTCTCGATGAAAATTTATCTTGGAAACCTCATATTTCACATATCTCACGTAAAATTTCCAAATCAATTGGAATAATTTACAAATCGAGTTTTTTCCTCTCTAAATCTTGTTTAAGAACTTTGTACTTTTCATTAATCTATCCGTACTTGCATTATTGTATTTTGGTATGGGGTTCAACTTATCAGTCTAACCTCGAACGCATCGTATTGCTTGAAAAACGTGTAATCAGAATAATTAATAAGAAGGAATATGATGCTCATACTTATCCTCTATTTAAAGAGAGTGTGATTCTCAAACTGAATGATATTTATCTATTCTGCTTGGGAAAATTTATGTATCTTGCTTCTAAAAATTCTCTTCCTCCTAGCTTTAAGAATTTGTTTTTGGTAAATAGCGAGGTACATAGCTATAATACCAGAAGTTCGAACCTAATTAGTATACCATTTTGTATAACAAAATTACGACAATTTTCTGTCTACTATCAAGGTCCAGTATTTTTTAACTCCTTGGACCAGAATTTACGGAACACCATGTCTGTCTATTCTTTCCAATCGAATCTTAAAAAGCATTTAATTTTCGATAATTTGTCCGATGATTGTAACTAAATAGTATCTAATTTACATCTAGGTGTGTGGATCTAAGTATCTTGAATTCTTCGTTTTGATATTATGTGTGTGTCCTTGTATTATATTAGTTTCCTTATTATATGTCTGCTCACTATTCTACCTCGTATATATTTAGATAACTTATTCTTTAATATTTGACATGAGGTAGTCTAGCAATTAATAAGCCTTGGCTTCTAGTTGGACTACCTCGTCACAATTTTTCATTTCTTGTCTCTTCTATCTTATTACTTTTGTAAATTGTTGTATCAACCAATTGTGGCAAATTAATAAATTCAAATTCAATAGATTGACAAACCCAAGTATGACGGTTGAATTTAAGTTGAATTTCTGGTAATTCCCTTGTTCAGATATCCCCTTCAAACCACATAACTATAATAACTATATTATAAAACAGCACTAGATAAATGTCATGACGTTGACGATCCACGAACATGGAAATCGGTTTGCTTAAAATGCAACCAAGCTCGCGACCTGACAAGGCCGATAACGTGTTCTTTTTAGATTTAGTTTTCAGAAGTACCTTTTCACATTGGTATCTATGGGGCCTATTCAGGTTTTGCTGAAGGTTTAGGATTGTGAGGGTTTCAAACGTCTTCTGACTCAGTCAGCTTCCAAAAATGGAAGTGGTTCTGCGGGTCGCAATGTGAAAAGTTGCATCTGATAGTTCGTTAGTAATTGATTCTTTCTATATATGTACGTATATAGTGTATTTGTCTAACATTTAGGGATCGCAGTAATTGTCGCAAGCTGTTGCGATTGCCCTGCCAGTTTTTTGTGTTAACGTTGTTTAAATCTGGCAAAGTTAATAAATAAATAAATAAATAAATAACTTTAATAACAATATACAGTGAAAAATTCGAACAAAAGGGTAGAGTTCAACACCGCGAGCCAGGCTCTTCATTTCTTCAACATGCTATACGATAGTACGACAAATTGCGTGATCAGATATATAGGAGTAACATGCTTTCGAAGTTTGTATAAGGTTAGGGACAGTAAACAAACAATATTAGTCCTACCCAAATTCCAAAGTAAGAGCAGTAGAGCCAGTGACCGTCACACCAACGGTTATTGTTCCATCGTCTTCTGATACAATATAATTTGGTTGTTCAAACGAAATGAACAATGCTGAAATAAAACAGAATTGTTTGAAGAATATCAAAACTTGGTCCATACAACTATTAGCATTTTATTCTATTCATTTTTACACTTCGTTCCTATCGTAAAATTATTATCCAAAATAATTATACATATACAGCCCTTTTATCTTAGACAAATCGATCAATTGCCCAACATCACGATCGAATTCACGTACCATCGTCATCTAATATCGTAATTGAGCTAGAAGATGGTGTTCCGATATTGACTTGATCAGTGTTCGTGGTAGATAGAACAGCTTGGAAAAATTCATTTGATTCAATAGTTGCATCATTTTGTATGGTTATGGTGAATGTAAGAGGTGTTGATGAAGATGGGGTAACAAGTATAGTCTGAGCAATAGTACCATAGTCACTCGGTGACTGAGCTGTCAATGAGTTTGTTGATAATCTACTAAAGGAAAGAAATTAAATGTAATTAACTTTATATGTTGCTATTATTCTATGAGCAAAACATCATGGGTTTATTGGTTTATTATACACCAGACCGAATGGTTGTGCGTTACTTCCATCCTTTATTATATAGTGTTACTAAACTTACAATAAATCATAGTTTGTAAACTACAAGTAAAAATACCTTCCTGCGATATCAACAGCTGTCTGTCCAGTCACAACCACTCGAACACTTACAAATCCATCATCTTCTCCGACTTGATACGTATTTGAATCCATCGTTAAGGTAATTTCTGAGAGGGATGAATGCACATGTTACAAGGGTAGTGGCAGGTATTTAACAATAAAATGTTTAGAGTCTAACTCGTCTTTGAAGTAGATGCATGAATATAGAAACACATCACGTGTTTATAACTGATAGATAAATCCTTAGAAAATTATTTGATGATCGCCATTCTTTTCACAACAGACACGTTGACATGAGTGCGTCAAAATACTATATAGAACCGAGTGTAGTATAACACGTTTTAAAAATTATATTTGACAAAGAATATTACCCTCTCACTGGAGGAGACTCAAGTGAGAAGTTACAATGCGAAGTTTATTGTATACTAAAGTTACTTACTGTCATTATCCGTTATGGAAACTTGAAGGTTTCCATTTACAACATTCACTTGTGGATCAGTCGATGTAACGCGTACTCCAAACTGCTCAGTATTTTCAACAATGTTATCTTCACGTATAGCGACAAGGAATGGGGCCTGAAGGCTGTTTGGCTGTAATGTTACTATCTCAGATTTCGTTTCATAGTCGTTCAGTACAGCAAAGGCAGAAACATCGTATGTCGATACACTGTATGAAAAATGAATTATGCAAATGTCTTAATTGGGTTTGAATTTAGGGTTTAAACTGACTGGAATTACAATGCATTTAGAAAAGGGGGTGTTATGTGGGGTAAATCAATTTTCCAATCTTCATACATTTCCTTCCTTTTAGAAATTTTCCTGAATCTGAAGTACAGCTTTACTTAATTTATCGCATATTAACAGGCACTAACGCAGCTAGGATTCATTTTCTCAGTTAAGCAATCCTGTATCACAAAATTGTAAGGGCCTTCTTTGGTTCGTGAACCCCCATTGATCTGGGGCTCCAGGCAAAGTGCCCCCCCCCCCCCTCGGCGGCCCTGCGGACAGGTAAACCCGACATTGAAGTTTGCTGTGTTTACTGTAATTACAATTGAAGTCAATATAAGTGTCATTCTAATATCCCTTAGAAGTGCATGCTCACGTCACGCAATTTTCAAATCATCAAAACACTAGGCATACGCAATGCAATGTGAGATACATGTAGTCAAATATTCATTGTCTAACAGTGTCGTGAACTCAATCAATATGGGTTCAGTATTGTCACTACCTAAGATCATTAGGACCGTGCGCATGCCGTGGTGGTTGTCCATGCATGCAAATGGGGTCATCCCACTGAAGATTGCTAATGCAGCATTCAGATCCAAATAACTGAACGTCATTATTGAAAATAAGACCATACAGCTAAAACTGCTTGACTAAGAGAGAAAAAGGAAGTTGGCTTCCAAGTTAAAATACCTGGTGTAGTATAACACTTTATGAAAACTATATTTGATATAGAATACTACCCTATCCCAGCCCTTGCGAAAATAACTATATTATATTGCTATTTTAAAACTATTTTATTACTATCATCTCTATTTTTATGCTATTTTATTCAGAGGCAACCCTAATTTAATTCTATCATAATATTTCACTAAAAGAAAGAGCCATATTTTATTAATGTTTTATTTTATTTTATTCCTATTTTTATAGATAATAGAAATAAAATCGCATATTTTAATACTATTTTCCAGAGCCTCAGAGAAAAAATAGGTTTAAAATA